CCCTAGGAGGAGGAGAAATTGGGTAGCGTGATCTCCAGGAAAACCCATTGGTGGCTTTTCTTTGTGCTGAAAGAGGAAAATTCTGTTTGATCCACTGTGGGCTGATTTTAGTTCCTTTGGTTTGCTAGCCTATGAAAGAGACAATCAGCACCAAGATGAAGCTGAAGGAGACCCAGGTAACGGACAGGAGCCTCAGGAACAAGGGCACCGGGAAGCTGACCCAGAATCTGAGGCAGATGTAAGTGTGCTCTTCCCTGTTCCTGACGTGTAGCAACTCACAAGGCAGGAAGAAAGTGAGAGAGCGTTTGATTCAAGCCCAAAGCCTCTGGCCCCAGATGCACCACTCATCAGGGCAGAGGAAGTGACTTGCATAACTACATATGAGCAATGTTTCTAACTACAAATGTGGGTGTGTGTGTGTATGTGTTGTTAAAGGTTGCTCTAAGAAAAAATATCAAGATTTTCCATTAACAACTTTTAGATTAGTAAGATTAAATCTAGAAAAGCAAAATTGAGAGGCCAACTTGAATAGTAACTCTGAAAGATTAAGGGGAAGGAAGGCAAGCATGAAGCTAGAGAGGGGACCAGAGAAAGGAAATTAACCTTTCCTGGGCAAGCTGAACCATTTGCTAGGGCTTTAGTTATGTCATGTGACTCTCACCGCCCAACCATCCAGTAATGAACTTAATAAACATATAGAAGTATATGTTGTTACAGACACGAAGAGAGGTGCTGAGGTACTATGATGGTATAGAAAATTTAGAATATAAACGAGTACACATCCAACACTGGCACTGTTCTTTGTGTTTCCCAGAAAAGGATTGAGAACCCGAGTCAGCTGGGTGGTCTAGAGTTTTGGCCCTACTTATAAGCAAAAGAAGCAAACGTTAAGTGAATCTGTTTTTGTCTTATGTTTAGATGACTTTCACACCTTATTTTAGGTCTCTTGTCATGTTCTGCTAATAAAGCAACCCTTATGTTTATAGCATTCAGTCTGTGCTATCTTATGGGCCCTGTTTTTACTGATCCAGGGAATTGAAAGGAAGATTCCTGTCCTTCCTTGATAATCACCAAGAAAATCTTCCTGCTGGCTATTTGACGCTGCTTGATGGAAATCCTTTTCCACTTAACTTGTATTGAGACATGGCTGAACACCTTCCCCTGACATCCCCTACATTTGTGTTATTGTGTAGCAGGGAATCCAGCCATAAAATATTCTCAGAAAGGAGCAAGAGCTAGCAGGAACATATGAGGCTGTGAGAGAATGTCCCACAAGAGCAAGAAAGCAGGATGCAAAAGCCTGCGAGTATATGTGAGAGGGATGAAGGAGTGGGGATGGGGCGTATATCACAGTCACTTGGTTTGGAAACTGCTATAGACTCTGATCAGTTGCCAGTGTCATCTCTTAATCTCCTGTCATCTGTTGGTTTGTTCTGGTAAACACTAGCCGTTTTTTTTTTTTTTTTAATCATGCCTTCTTTACTAGAAATTGTTGTACCCTCTTGTCCCTCTCTGTCTTAACTATTTTATCTGAATGTAACAATGGTGCCTGTAAAAACCCTTGCTTACCACTTGGTTGGACTTGCATGTTTGTGTACATTTTGTGACCAATTAACAAAATATCAAAAAAAGATATTTTGTATTCTGTATGGTACATTTTTCCTGTATCCCCTGCACAGATTTTTGATAACACACAAGAGAAAGTTTATAAGGCAAGAGATTGTGGCCTAGTTTGATGTGAAGGTGAAGACTTGCCACTCTGCATTGCTGAGAAAAGTGTCATTTACACTTGCATGAAGCTTAAGTCCAGGACTGTGCAAGTAATAGATGAGCTAAAACCATAGTGAGCTCTTGAACACGTTCAAGGTTCTGTAAATGAATTGAATCAGAATCCCCTTGTCTGAGAACACTGAAAGACTGAATCCTGCACTGTGGCTTCAGCAGCTGGTGATAGCAGCTGTCCAGTGGATGACCTGGGAGGGGCTGGGAAGCTCATAGCATGCATCACCATTTCCACCCATTTCCGACTCTGAAAGCTATCTTTGTCAGGATGGGTACTGTTTCTATTTGGAAGGTGCTTTGGAGACTTAAGGCAAAAAATTGAAATAGTTCTTCAGTTGATCACTTAAAGAGCATTTATTTGAAACAGTAACTGAGAACTCTTCAAGGGAAGGCTTGGGGGGTTATTTTTCATAATATATTGCCAAAGATTGGGTAGCTCTTTTCCCGTCTCTTACCAGTACAATATCTCTTAGTGGTAGTGTTTGTTATTAAAGAAATTTAGTTCATGCTACAAATAGACCATTTACTTTAGAGTTAGCCCTATTCTTGTCTTGTTTCTTTTTTTAGGGCCTCCCCTTGGGTCCTTTCTGATGTTGACCTTCTTTTCTGTCAACTGCTTTCTACCTTATTACATGTTAAAAAATTCCCTGTAAGCAGAATTTCTCTGTAAAAACCAATATAGCAGCAAAAGAAGTTGCTATTTTCTCATCTAAATCTCCTATCTTAATTACTACTGACTTTTTTTCCTACTTGGTCCTCTGATTTTTGTTAGCTATGTTTCTTATTGTCTATTTAGCTGTGCTAAAATTACCTGTTAGTAGAGTTGGAATCACTTTCAGAAAGGAAGTACTATTTGTACTTCATTTTGAGTCCTCAAACTCTGACAAATTTTACTTGTGAGTCTTGGCAAGGATGCATTTGAACAAGCCAGTGAAGGACAATTTCATTTTCTGCCACTGTGTGGCCTTTCAAATGAAATTAGACTTGATCCTCAGTCTTGAAGTGGTGGATGATTTTTATTAAAATTTTACAGAGAGCAGCTGTGGAGGATATAAACCCAGCGGATGACCCCAATAATCAAGGCGAAGATGAATTTGAAGAAGCTGAGCAAGTGAGAGAAGAAAATTTGCCAGATGAAAATGAAGAGCAAAAACAAAGTGATCAAAAGCAAGAGAATGCAGAAATGGAAGAGCACTTGGTGGTAAGCAGGCACCAATACAACGGCAGATTTTACGGAGGTTTTTTATTAAAGCCTAGTTTATGTAAAAGATGAATCTTAGCCTAAGTTGAGACAAGGTCTGCCATGTTAGTGGTTTGGGTGCATTGTATGAAATGATATGCCTACTCTCAGAGAGCTGGACATCCTGTGCTTTGTGTTAGAAATGATTGATCATTTCCTGGCCCCCAGTGTGTTCCCGTGCACTTTTCATGGTGGCTTGCTCATGCTTTGTTCCAGAGTACTATAAAAGGCATCTCCAATGTACAGTAACATGAGCCTCCCCTTTTATTTCAACAGATGGCAGGCAATCCAGACCAGCAGGAGGATAATGTTGATGAGCAGTACCAGGAAGAGGGAGAAGAGGAGGTAGTAAGAGTGAATACAGGAGACTGATCACATTGTTTGGTCTTTCTCACTAACCTCAAACAAACCTCAGCAGTGTTGACTTTGACATGCCTTACATAGAAATGTTCAAAAAGACTTAAGTCTTTTTGTATGATAAGACTTGTAAGTAGGATAAGAAAGTATGGCTTAAAGAAAAACTGGGCCATGGCACTGGAGACATTTGGGTAGAAGACAACAAGAATAGAGTGATAGACTCTCTCTCATTGGGTCTCACCGGAAATTTTAAGACATTTGATTTTCCAGGCATGGTAGACTTAGATGTGTGTGATTTTCATAAGAGTATTTTGGATTTCTCTTTCTCCCATAAAAGAGAGAACAGAGCTCTGCCTATTGAAGGAATGGGCACTGACTCCACTAACTTTCTCTGTAGACATCACCTCCATAGTGATGCCTTAGAGCCCACTGGAATCCTTGTAACACCCTTCAGACATTTTTAGAAATACATAATCTTGCCTTCTAGCCTCTTCCATCATAAAAATTCAGTATGGTAATTAATTTAACAGTACTGAGGGCTGGGAGTGTAGCTCAGTGGTGGAGCACTTGCCTGGCATGTGGGAGGTCCTGGGTTCAATTCTAGCACCAAAAAAAAAAAAAACAAGGGAAGTATGTAAGGAACTCAGATGAATAAAATGCATTTAGATGGAATTTCTTAATATTTCACTTTAGTTTGCTTTTCATATGTATCCTCTGGCATTTTATGGTTAATTAGGCATTTATATAATGCCTGCCATGGTGCAGGTTTCTGTGATCAGTCACCTAGTGAGTGCTGTTTATTGTAGCCTTTTTTGTTACACCTCTCTCCTATAAACCCCTATAATACTTGGGGAGTATGATATAGATCTGGCTAAGACCCCACATTTAGTCCCTCTGTAGAGCAGTAAATAGTTACCAAATTAAAGTCCTAGTTGAGAGCCACGTATCTCTTAACTCACAGCCTGGTGTCTGGGAAATGTATGGCTTTGTCCTTGAGGGGCAAAAATATGTCATGGGATGATAGACACATGGTCAAGAAGAGCTGAACCGAAAGCATGTTTTCTGTACTCACAGACTCAGCTCCCTTCACTGATTCTACTTTCTCATTCTTATTGCTTTTGTCAGCTTTTTAGAGCTAATGCTGAAGTTCATGCTTATATGAGGAAAACTGCAACTGATGGTACCCTTTCTGGCCACTGGCAGCATCTCCAGTCACATGCTCTCTAACTGGCTTGATCTTTGCATTCTCTCTCTCTTGCGTTTCATCCTGCTGTCATCTTAATCAAGATTCCAAGCTGACTTATCAGAAAGAGAACACTGGAAAAACCAGTGGCCTTCAATATTAAGACACTTGGCAAGAAGAAGATATTCATCTAGGCTTCTCTTAGAACAAGGATGTCTGGACTAATAGTACTTTGTTTCATTATGTCAGATACTGGGATTCTTTGAAGGATTAAAAGAGAAAAGGTTCACCTTGTCTTCCCTTTAAAAATTCAGGAGGATAAACATAAAAATTTAATAAGTATTTACCAATTCCTTTTCACTTTTATATACCATCAGTTAAATTGACGGAGAGAAATCCTGAGATCCAAGAGGGATCAAGGAAAGAGAGAAAGGAAAGATAGAGAAGCAAGAAGGGAAGTGAGAGCATAAGAGGCAAAGGGGATTGTGCTGGCTCAGTGCAGCCTGAACTGAGCAGCTGCTCCCTAGGACCACTGAAGAATGAGCAGGGCTCTTCTCTCCTGCACCCAGCCCCAGGTCCTAATTCTTTTGTCCTTATTGGTTCCCTGCCCAAAATGCTTACAATAGTATTTGTGTCCCCACTTTCTAGCCCTCTTTTGCATAGGCTCCAGGTTGTCACCCTCATCATTTAGGACTACAGCATGTAGATTCTCCATGGATGCCCAGTGAGTTTTTCTTCTTCCCAGTGTAACTTGTCCTCCCATTCCATGAGCATCCACCATTCAGCCTGTGTTGTACTTTTTGGTCTTTCCTGAGTTGATGAGTATTTGAATCTCCCCATCTTTCTATCATTCCCAGGTCTTCCCTAGAGAGGGGAGAGAAATGCTTATCCATACCATTCAAGCAGTAGTGACAGGCAGAGAGGAAGCACTCAGCAAACTGCAGAAAAATGAGACAAGTGGAGTGGAAAGGCATATGTTGTTGTTTCTCATTGTGTGTGTGTGTGTGTGTCTGAGATGGCATTTGTGGCAGCACTGAAAATTTATGAAATTCTGTGTAAATACATCCTCCTCTCCTTTAAACCTGAATGCTCCAACTGCCCCACTAACTACTGCACCATAGGCTGATAACTGCTGTCAGTTTCCCTCCCTCCCACTTAGTCTTGCCATCAGCATTTGTTCCCCGGGAGGAATTACATCCTACAAGGGCCACACATGTCAGAGGTACAGGTCAGATACAGACTCAATTGTGGGAGCACAGCACCTAACATAAGGGTGATTTTAGGGAATTTGTACTACCCCTACCTTCTTTGATCTTAGTATGGCAGTGTTATCTTTCTAAGACTTGAAAGTGGTGATTATTGACCTACAGTCCTTGCTTATTTGTTTGCTCTTGTCAGAGTGAAAGACATCCCTACATTTTGTTCTCCTCATGTTGCTTATATTCCATACATTTTATCTACTTTTGAGCAAAGAATACATACCATAACATTGTCAAAAGTGCTGTGTCGTTTTTGAAGTTATTTAAATCTTACAAAATCTGTAGACTAAATGATTAGTTGAAAAGTCCAAATCCCTTTCTCCAGCATAACAGAAAACAGAGTATTCTGAACACTTAGGAAAGAGAAAGTTGAAGATCATTTGTTCACCTTCTGTGGCCAGATAAGGCACATGCACCCCCATGAGATTGAGCCTGTGAGTCATGCATCAGGAAACTTCGATCGGTAGAACCTCTTCTGTTAAACGCTGCTCAGCAAGCAGTGGTTCCTGTCATTGTAGCTGACACTGCTGAAGAGCTTTTGTTTTTCACATGCCACCCACTTTGTGGGAATCCTAGAATTCTTGACTACTTAAGGTTTAGACTACTGGTTCCTGGCCCAGTACATAGCATCCTCCATGAGTAAAACAAAGGTGTTTAACACCAATGGCAAGACAGAGTAGCTCACCAAAGCCCATTTCAACACTGATCTGTTTTGCTTTGTTTCAACCATTTACTAAACTTGTTAAAAAATTTTTTGGTGATACTGGGGTTTGAACTCAGGGCCTCACATTTGCTCTACAACCACTCTACCACTTGAGCCACACTACAAGCCCTTTTTACTTTAGTCATTTTTCAGATTGGGTCTCTTGCCTAGAGTCAGCCTCTCAGATGAGCTCCTCCTATGTATGACTCCCACATAGCTCATATTAACTTGTATTACAGCTATACACCACCATGCCTAGCATATTTGTTGAGCTAAGGTCTTGCTAACTTTTTGCTGGGGCTGACTTCAAGCTGAGAACTTCCCCATCTCCGCCTCCCAGGTAGCTGGGACTATAGGCATGAGCCACTATACCCAGCCCACTTTCTAAATTTAACCCTATCACTTAGGGCTCATTTCCCAAATGCCTACAACATTAGATTTCAGTAGATAAAACTCAGGAATGAGTAACAGTGTTGGGAAATCTTTGACAAAGCATCAGTTCAGCTTTAGCAAAATACTAAGGAGGATGAGGGATAGAACACATAATTGCTGTGTCTGCATTATAAAAGGATAACATTTGGCTCCTGGCTATTATTCTAAGCATATTTTAAAGATCACTTAGAAACACTGTATCATTTTGATCTTTTCTAATAATGATTTTAAGATGACTTTGAATTTCCTTTGCTCCAAACATGAAGATTATATTACTAACAAAATGTATATTTAGGAATATATTGTCTATATGGCTGGAAAATTACACAATATTCATTAGTGTGTCCCCTAAATTAACAAGTGACTTAAATCAGTGGTTGCCAACTGAGATTATAATGACAATTGGTAAACAAACTGAGTTCTTTACAATAGATCCCAAGAGAGGAGAGAAAAAGTTTGTGGAAGTGTGATTATCTCATAAGCCAGAGACATTCTTAACTCCTGTGACTCTAGGAGGTAGTCTTAGTCTTTGCCTTGACCAAGAATCACCATAAAGAGTTTGTGAAAATATAAATCCCTACATCAAACCAACCCTTGGAAATTTTGATGTCCTGTGAGTAGAACATAGGAACCAGAGTTCTTCAAAAGCATCCACTTGCCACCTCCAGCCAATGCTACTGTTTCAGGAACATCCCATTTACATGAACAGTTCAAGGTGCAGATGGCCTTTGGGAAGTGTGAGCTTCCTAAACTACATGTAGAAAGCTGTGTGTCTGGGCCCATTGGCTGAAGACATTGTCACCCATGCCTTAAAAGGATCCGTGATTCTCAAACCCACATACAGAGAAAACTAAAGGTCATTGATTACTACCCAAGCCTTTTATTTTATGCATAAGAAATTTGAGCTTCAGAGAGGTTAGTTAAAAAGTTTAAGGCCATAAGTTTGATACTTATTGTTAGAATCATAATTGGAGCTCCCCCCTCCCAGTACTGACTTTAACGGATGACATGATTAAGTGTAGCAGGCATGGTAGCGTGTTGGGGAGAGTTTTTCTTGATAGAAATCAGTTAGCTCAGGAAGACTGTGGAACTAAGAAGTCACCATTCTTGTAACCTTCAATTAAAACAATCAGTTTAAGCTATAGTGGATTATGTCACTGGATGAATAGAGGCCAAGGAACTTCATGAGGAAGGGAGCAGGCTGTCACCATCTGAGCTTGCTGAGCAATCACAGCCTTAGTGAAAGTAGGACCAAAAAAATTACGTACCTCCTGATGTAATGAAAATATGAAATATTCTGCATCACCTCTGAAATACCCTTGTTTATTATATTGGTTAGAAATATTGAGGTGCTGCCATGATCACAAATCAGACACATGCTCGGAAGTTGTTGGGTAAGGCAAAATTTACTTCTGCAGAAGGGTGCATGTGTGTCTCTGACCTAAGTCAGGCAAGCCAGCACACATACAGGGTGGGGAATTGTCCCTGTTTTATCCCTTATGCTTATGCAGGACTGCCCCTTTGCTCTAAGAAGGGAGCTCGGGTTCACAGTCTTTATGATTGACTAAGGTTGAGGTTTAAGGGAGAGTATAGGGGAAGAGCGAGCAGACATGACTGGAGAGTATGGACAGAAACTTAATTTGGTTGGTGTACTTGAAGGCAAAGAGGTGACTCATAAGGTGGGAATTCTAGGATTCTGGGGAAAATGAGGCTTATAATGACTGACCTGAAATGGCAGCACCAAGTACATAATTAACCTCTGGAATTCACTCACATCTTTAAGTTAGCTTCCATATACAGAAAATGTGGGAGATCCAGGGATGAGTGAAATGATACCTTAGAGAGTAATATGAATCCAGAATGGCGTTTTTCCTATAGGACAAGTTGATAGCATTGAGGAGAAAAGAATGGAGGAAAGCCCATGTTATGATAGCCTGTATTTTTAGATCATGATTGGAACAGACTGACTATAAACAAATTCTATTAAGATATACAGAAAAGAGTTCATGCGGAGTAGACATCAGAAGATAGCATGGACTTATTGATGTTATCAGGTGTGATAAGAGCATGAGTATACAAGGTGTACAATGCTTTTAGAGATGTATACTCTGATATGTGAAATTACATGGTATCTAGAATTTGAAAGAATAATGTAGTAGAAAAATAGAAATGTCACAGATGATGTAAGTATGGCAATATTGAGATAACATTTGAACATTGGTGATATGGTTAAGAGACTTATTGAATGATTTTTCTTCATTGACATGTGCTTGAAGATTTTGATTAAAAAAAGAAAAAGTTTAGTTTCAGGTATGGTAGCATATGCCTATAGTCATAGCACTTAGGAGGCAGAGACAGGGTGACCAGGAAGCTTGACGGCAGCCTGGGTTATATAGTCCAGATTTTGGTAACTTTCTGTCTGACTCCACAGTATATGTAAGAAATTGGCAAAATGTAGCTTGTGGCCTATTTTATAAATGAAGTTTTCCTGGAACACAGGCCTATTTGTTTGTATTTTGTTCAAAGCTATTTTTATGCTACATTGGTAGATTTATATAGTTGTAACAGAGACATTGTGGCCCAGAAACTGTAAATAATTACTAACTGATCCTTACCATAAATAGTTTGCTTCCTGATTTATATATTCCTCCCACCACACTGCATAGTTTCAAGGCAATTCGTTTTCATTCTTAACTAACCTCTGCTTCATGTTCACAAGTAATGTTTGGCATGAAAGAGTATGGAAGACATGTCTTTGTTCGTCACAATAGACAGAGACACTTCAGTTTAATAGTGTTTCAATTACTCAGACCTCAATGTAGTCTGCAGTAAGCCCTTCCGTGTCTTCATCCCAATGTCCTGTGGAATGTTCCTATGAGGTTTCGTGACTAGTGGCAAAAAAGGCACCATGGACCTGATAGAGCCTTAAGATGAGACCAGGGGTATTTTTAGCTCACTCATCCATGAAATGGGACTATAAAAGATACTCAGTGCCTCTGTCCTCAAATTGTATTTATTTAGGACTAATGTAGTTTAGGGCTAGTTATGTGTCCTGCTAATCCTAGACTGTTAAAAGAAAATCATGAACACTTGACTCCGTCTTGGGTATCTGTAAAAAGTCACCTTTGTAGGCTCCTGACAGGCCAAGTTCAATCCAAGCTCCTCTGGGAGGCTGTCGTTCATTGTCTCACTGGGACTGGACACCTTGAGGCAATCCTTACATTTTTTCTCCTTAATTATAGCCCTTTCATACTTTCAAATTCTTGTCTATTTCTAACATTTTTCAATAGCCACTGTTCCCCAACTCTTCCAAAAAAAAAGAAAAATCAGGTAGCTTTTGTGTATTCAAGAGAACTTAATCCAATAGCATGATACTGGAAGAAATTAGGCTTCCTTTCGGTTCCAGAGCTCTACTTTATGTCTAAGTGATGTTCAGCAATTTTTAAAAATATATTCAAATAACTTAAATCTTTCAGTATATGTACAGTTTTCAAAATAGTTGACATAGATAACTTTCAGAAGAAAAAGCTACCCAATATTTTTATGATATGTGATCATTAAGTAAAGATAATTTATTAAAACATTTGGATACTTTCTTCAATTTGCATTTTGAGATAATAATTGGGATCAGTAAAACAGTAGTAATATTTATGGACATAAAGGAAAACTAAAACAGAAATGTTGGGTTAGCGCACTAAATAGAGGTAGGGATGTGAAAGAGCTTGATCCTTTCATTGAAGAAATTTAAGTGATTGTGTTCTACTTTCTAGACATTGAGCCAGAGAAATTTATTCTTAATCATGAAATAGGTACATCAATTTTCTATTTCATTGATATAGGCAGTGGCATCTTTTTTGTTCCTTTACTGAGGAGATTTTTTTCTGGTACTGAGATTTGAACTCAGGACCTTGCACATAGATGAGATATTTTTGCATTTATTTATTTATTCACTCAAAGAACCTTTCATTCAACAATATTTATTAACCAATTCTACTGTGTCTGCTGTGCATCTAGTTTGTTGAAGACAGTGTGGGTAAGACAGGTAGTCCTGCCTTTATAGAACTTATATTCTATCAGACTTGCAAGTTTCCACAGTTCTCCCATTTGGAAAAGAGGGCCGTTTAATTTTAGAAGCTGAATTTCTTCAGGGGAAGTCCTTGAAAAATTAACCCTTATCCAAAGAAATCAGAAATCCAAACACAAAGGTCTGAGACTCAGAATCAATCACATTGGTTTTGGTTATAGGTATGTAACATATTCTTCATACCTTATGGACAAGTCAAACTTTTTACCTTCACCTTTTTCAAATTTATTTTCAGTTCAATTTTGTTTCTGCTACTTTGAACTTTGTGGAAGCCAAAACATGTTGTTGCAAGTACTTAAATAGTGAGCGCATCACCCAGTATTTGTGGTTTATTTTAGGTTCAGGAAGATTTGACTGAAGAGAAAAAAAGGGAACTGGAGCACAATGCTGAAGAGACCTATGGTGAAAATGATGAAAATGTATGTGTAGGCTGCGTAATCTGTGGAGCACTTGTGTGGGGTGCATGCCCATGCCTGCTACACAGGAAGTATATGTGTGCACTTGGGACAGGCACCAACAGGGCATTCCCCACACCTCAAAGGTTCCATTGAGGGCCACGCAAAATTAGGAAAAGTGACAGTATAAAGATTAGGAGAGGCTATGACACTGTTGCAGAGATCATTTTTCTTTACTAAAAAAAATAAATGAATTTCTTTTGTTAAAGAGAATTATTCATCAGCACCCTGACTCTTACTTTTTCTTTTAACTTTAAGGGTGATGATAAAAACAATGATGGAGAAGAGCAAGAACCTCGAGATGCCACCCGCCTTAAAGGCAGAGAGGAACACTATGAAGAGGAGGAAGAGGAAGAAGATGGGGCAGCTGTTGCTGAGAAATCACATCGGAGAGCTGAAATGTAGCTGTGCCAATTTCCAGGTGATACTCAGCCAACAAGTTTTTCAAGCTGCTCTAAAATAAACCTGCCTACTGAACTCTAGAATATTTAAATACAAAAAAATAAGGGTTTAGACTTTTTTAACTTTTGTATTAGAAATGCTTCTACATTTATATGAAAATATTTTGGTAACTTAGGTTAGAATATCTTTTATAGTCAAGCGAAACATGAACAAGCAGAAAAACAATAAAGCATACCTTAGGCTCTGAATCTCATTTCTCATAAATCCTGTGAGGTTGGAAAGAGTGTTGCTTTTGTGTATGTTCTAACTTGTTACCTTTATGCCTTCTAGTTTCCAGGTGTTCTGCTATCTGCCTTAGATAAAACACAGGATTTAAAATAAAAAGTACTGAAAAATGCTGTGCACACTTTGAGGAGGGTGGCTAGCTTATTAACTGTTGCTTTTCTGACATTCTTATGTATAGTTATAATAGAATTTTCACTTGTCTGTGTATGTTTAGAATGAAATCCATGTAGATAGAGTGACATGCAATTGGAAAATTTTTGTTTTAAAGATAGTTTCTCAAATGTTTCAGATCAGTTAGAAAAATGTTTGCCTTTTCCTTAAAACCACAACTGTTCTGCTTGAGTGGAATTGAATTTAAAAGTGGGATAATTCAAAAACTCATGTACAAGTATCCCAGACTTAGTCTGGTGGTTTGGTATTAGAAATGTATGATACATCCATGTATTAATGTTTCTGAGGGACTGATAACTTGTCAAAATACTAACTTAGTATGTATGTGTGCTGTTTTCTATGTGAGCACCCATTCACCTTGTCTTTGTCCTGAGTCACCTATTAATATCAGTGTCTGGTTCTCCACAGTAAAATGTATCTCTCCTGTAATCTGTGTTCCTCAAAGTATGATCACTTCAATGACAATTATCAATAAGAAGGCATGCAATGCAGTAGGATTATTTTACAAAACCGTTTGATGAAATATATAAGACCTTCATGGCTTTTCTGCATGCTGGAAATTGGTCTTCCTTTTTCCTACACACAAGGCATTTTAATGACTATGAATTATAACTGATCCTTTAAAATGATGAAACTCAATAGTCAAACTTTTCCCATGAAATGAAGACATATTTCAGTTGCAATCATAAATATTTAATAGGCTATATAATTCATATATTTGTGGTTTTAAAATAATCCTTTCAAAGTAACAAAAATTTCATATTCTACCATTATTGTATGAATGTAATTTTGTGTTTTAATAACCATACTTGTGTGGTTTTGATTATCCCAGTTGAGTAATTGTTTAGGTACACATAGAAATGTTTTGCTCAAATGTATCTCAGATTTCTAATAATCATAAATCAAATCTTACCTTTATGTATAAAAATCCCTTATGTAATGTAAAATGTATAATATTGTACATAACATTCAGAATACAATTATTTTGGTAAATTAGTTTGTATTTTTAATGTTTCTGTTGCAGTATTTAATTATTTGAAACATACTGAAAGGTGGTAATAGTCAATAAAGCTATAAAAAACAAATGATAAATCTTTTAAATTACATAATTTCTTATTAGTTTCTAACATTTCTCGTATAAAGAAAATTTTAATAGATACCAATATTAATTAATGAATTAAGAAATTTCTTTCCCATCCTGTTCCTTTTTTTACTTGGATTGGCACTTAATTTTTCCCCCTACCTAAAGAAAGAGCTGAGAATTTTTATTGTATTTGAGCTGGTTCTAGAGGAAGAAAAAACTACAACAGAAAATATGGGAGAATGTCATGTGCACACCCACAATAAACAAAAAATTATTAAATCCTCTCCTCCCCCAAAAAGCAGCAGTCACAAGTCATTCTACTTATATACAGGAACAAGTTAGAGGTGATCTAACATCCAATGTTTAGAGGAGAACTAAGCCTGAGCTGATTTACCCAAATGACCTGAACAGAAATAAAATATCTTGGATTTATCTTGCCAATTAGTATGACTTTGGGTACAACCAAAAGTCAAAAAATTTGGTACCAGTAACTTAATCAGAAGGAAACAAAAGCACATTTATTAGGGACAAGTACAAAATACTAGTATATATGCAATGACTGGTTATTTGATAACTTAGGTTAGAATGTATTTATATTCAAGCTAAACATGAACAAGAAGAAAAACAGTAAGACATACCTAAGACTCCGAATCTAAGTAAAGATGTAGGAGTAAACAGCATGATCTTAGAGGTGCCGGTGACTCACTCTTACAAGGGAGTATTGTTGACATACATTTCATAGCTTCATAGCAACCAAGAGTGCATGAATGGAATATGCTTTAATCCTTACGGTTCTCCTGTAAGGTTGATGGAATCTCCACAGCTAAAGAGCTTTGTCTTCTGGAGTGTTTGACATTGTTTATCTATTAGGAGTTCTTCATTTTATATTTGTTTTTAGCTCCTCAATTACTTTGTTGATTTTATAGCATGTTGCACAGCCATTAAAAACAGTGAGTCAGGTCAGTTTCTCTTCAGGAACATCTTCTGATGACTTGTTCTGTCTGTTCCTAGTTTCCTTCTTAGCATCATGGCTACCTAATCTTTTCACAAGGTCTGTATCTCATGCCTCCGCCTTAAATCTTTGTACTCTTCAGATTTTGTGTTGGAGACCTTGTTTCTCTTTCACCCTTTCCCTGCCCCAGGTCTCCTACTTCATTTCTGCAGCTAATTTTCAGTGTCTTATTCTACCTTAAAATAGTAATTTTCAAACTGAATTTGCTCTCTTTACCACCTAAAATCTGCCTCTCATTCTAGGTTCTGTATCTCACTTCATTAAATTTTTCCAAAGAGAGTCATAAAATTTATCTTTAGTTCTGTCTTCCCACTCCACAGCTGCTACTGAAATATCTTCAGATTTGCTCCCTTCTCTCCATACCTGCCTGTCTTTACTTGGACAGTTTCTTAACTCAGCTCCTCATTTATTTGCTCGCAGTCCCTAAAAACTGTGTACTGTGATTTATCTACTGATAATACTAACATCATCCCCTTATAAAATTATTTAACAAATTGCTATTTTGTGTGGGAAAAATTCCAAACTTAACATGACCTACATAATTCTTCATGGTCTGGCTCATCTTCCCTCTTTAGTCTTATACTGTAACACTAACCCATATTAAATGTGATTTATCTTTATCAAGTACTTTCTTCTCCTAATGTCTTGGCAACCAACCTTGACACCAGAGTCTGGATTGAAAGTTGGCTAACAGAGCCAATAATATTGCACTGTCTCTTAAAAAGTGCATGATCCAAGACAGGCACTTGACCCAAGACACCAACTTGATTCCTTTCTGGAATTTTTTGTCAGAAAGTAACCCTTGATGATATTCCTGTATGCTGTGTGCAGATTTTTATTCTGAGCTATCTTTTCATGGATATTTTCATAGCAAACTACCTTAATAGCTAGAGATAACTCCCTCTGCTTCAGAAGGCAGATTTGTTCTCTGGCTTACAAATAAAGATGACATCTCCCTTCAGAGTAAAGTTTCGACAGGTTTACCAGCAGATCCATATATAATGAGGCCTTCCTAAGATCTGGAATGTTATATGCAACATCTACTTACGTTCTCCATGAAACCAGCAGCACCTGGCATGAACATGAAGAGTTCGTTCTGCCTACTGCTCAATGAGAATCAAAGTCCTGTACCTAACTCAGCAGCATACTCAGTTTCTAGCCAGCATCCAAGAAACTATAACAAACTAACTTGTTAGATTACAAGGTGGGTAAATTCTCATACCCTGCACAATTCTTAGTATTTTTGCAGAACAGAGTAAGTAGAAAATCTCTTGTCCCCTTTCTCTCCAATGACAAAGCTACTGTTTGATGAATTCAGCTTCCAGTGTCCCTCTACTTAGCTATATGGATGAAATAATCACAAACGTAGAGAACAAATCTAACCCATAGAAAGGCAAAGCTAGAGGCAGAGATAAAGAGCATTGTGGCATTTTTACATTTCCTACCTCTTTCCATGTCTGAGGCCAGCCAAACCTATTCACCGGTTAGACATGAACCAGAAAATCCCACCTTGTTTGACCTCGTTGGAGTCAAATTTATGTCACTTTCCACCAGAAGATTCTTGATTAATTCCTCAATAATAATATCTTTAAATCATCACGCTCAACATACTGTGATAAACTTGCAATATAACCTCCCTCGGGAACACTATTCAACATTCATTTACTCTGCCCTCTTTTGCCTGGATGATTGCTTTGGATCACATCTTAGGTACCAGTTCTTCTGGGAAGGGTCTGTCTGACATTCAGCCCACTCCTGAGTCTAAGTTGCATATCTCCTCTGTCTTCTTATAGCACCCTACCATCCATTTTGCATCATAGAGTATAGCAGTCGCATACAAACTTACCTATATTCTCCTTGGCTCTGAGATGGAAGAGCCATATTTTTCTTATTCATTGTTGTATATAAAGCCCTGGCATTAGTAAAGATAGATCTTCAATAAATATTTGCTAAATGAATATCTTTTAATACTTTTCATCTGTGAAAGTGAAATACTGATCATTTCAAGATCATATCACAAATAAGTGGCAGAGTTAAGAATTATTCCCAGGTGAATCTGATTCTACCATTAGTTCCAAATACATACAGGGTTGCTTGGATCATTATTCAATGTCAAGATGTAAGTTTCATATGTTAAGAAAGTATGTATTAAATTTTGCAATAACCAATCCTAAGAGAGTGAAAAAGAACAAGTGAAGTCTCAACCACAGTATTTGAAGAGGAACCAGAAAATCAGAATTACTTGAACTAAGAGAGAGAAAGAGTCTGTCTTTCATGCATTAGTTTTGGCATGAAGAATAAAGGATTTCTTGAGACACAGGTGAATGGAGATGTAAAATCTAGATAGGTTTTCAAATCAGAATATTCTTAAGAATCATGCCTAACTTGATGAATTGGTGTTACATCTCTTAGAAATTCCTTGTCTTTCAGACTGTTGTGAGAGGGCCAGTTGATATAGTTGAGAAGGCTCTGTACTTATCCACTGGTTGTTCTTTTACCTGCACACCATCACCTTTGCTGCCCCAGTCTCTTTAACCACACGAATGGGACCAGTCTTTGTACCCCTTTTTTGAGGCCATGCAGACTAAAGGAAAAGAGTCATGTCCCAAAGGAGCCCTACTGCTTCTTTGGAATTTCTACACTGAAGCAGGATGAGTGAAATGCCTGCTGGCTGCTTTGGTGATGGCATGAAACATGTTTGTCTTGAGCTGCCAGGAGTCATACTCCTCATTTCATAGAGATAACCCTGCTGCAGCAGAAAAGAATAAAGCCAAGCATGGAAAAAAGAACAGGAAATAGGGAAAAAGAAGGGAGGGGAAGAAAGGGGAAAAGGAGAGAGTTGATCAACTCTTTCCTGGTAAACAAGAAAACAGTGGTATTCAAATTCGCAGGTTCTGGCTTCATTTGATTTTTCTTGCCAATAAATCTCCCTCTTGCTTTTTTTTTTTCAAAACTCATTTGAGGTTCTTTTCTTTTTTGTGGGACTGGGATTTGAACTCTGGTTTGAAGTTCTTTAAACCCAATAAAGAAGACTGACTTCGGTACTATGTTTTCTAGGGGAAAAACCAGGTCAGTGTGAAAAGGAAATACTTTTAACTTTTAGTCATATTGCCCCCCCCGAACATAGAAAGTTTATATAAATAATTACACGCTTTTTCCTAAGCAATCACTTTTCATCTTGGATCTGTCATTGAGGGCCAGAAAATCTATGGTAAGATTTTAGGGATTATTGTAATGAAGTTATGAACACTTATATATCTCCATTCTTTATTCTACACCCAAGATAGACAAACTTTTTCTACAATGGCCAAGTAGTAAATCATTTAGTCTTTTCAGACCAAAGGGCCTCTCTGGAACTTAGTTAGCTCAAGAGTTTTATAGTGATAGTTTCCAGAAACAACACATAAAGGAATAAGCCCGGCTATGCTCCAATAAAACTTTATTTACATAAACAGAAAGCAGATACCTGATCTATACAGTCCAAATGCTGTAGTAAAAACAATTATTTCTATAGAAAATATAG